TTGTAAAAAAAAAGGAAGTAAACTTTTTCATATTAAATATTTTCAGGATTTTTTTTAAGTTAAGGAGGTTTTTAGTACATTGCGGAAATGAAGACTGCTTCAAAACATGTGACAGCCCCAAGATTCTCCATATCTCCTCCCCAGCTCTACTCAATGAGCTCTGTGCTGAATAATGGAAAGAAACTGTTTCTAACCTGCAAAATTCAGAACAAAGATGCACAATGGTGCTGAGATTAGTGGAGCAGTCTTTTCTCTAGATTCTGACTCAGCAAACATTTCTTCGGCCATCTGAAGGCTATGCCTGACTGGCTGGCCATCCTTCTCATAACCTATGCCCTCCATCTCCCATCAGCCAAGCTAGCAACTTGATGAAGGATGATATAAGACAAGGGCCAGGAAACCTCTGCAGGTTTTGGGACTACAAAACAGGCTGCAGTTAACAGGGTAAGTGATGTGAAGTGGGCTGAGATTTTCCAGGGAATATCTTTTTAGTTTTGATGCTAAAAATATTTTAAGTTGAGAATTAAAAAACAATGCTCTTCTGTTTTGTACCTAAAAACAACAGACAACTATGTCACTGATTTTCAGCTGGAAACAAGATCTGAGATATGGTCAGAAAGAGCTCTGGACGATGTAATAAAGTAGTTGGGATCATAGGTTGTGGATGGTCAGCTGGGTAAGGATTAACCCAATGGATTAAGTCTGCATTTCGTCTAAGGAAGACTTCTACTTTGGGTATCCAATGTCCCCTTTCCATAACATCCAACTCTGACGTAGCTAACACTGGCATACTTCTTTGGATGGCTTCTTCCTTTGCAGGCTGCTTGTTTTCTTCTTATAAATGACTTTCACACCATCCCATCCTTCTTGCAGGTCAAACTCTTTGTTTCTCAAAGCCTCATAGATAGCATTGGTGATGGTCTCGAAGGCCAGGTCTATATTGGTGTCAGTTTTGGCAGACGTTTCTATAAAAGATGTGCCCAGAGAAGTTGCCAAGCCCTCTGCTTCCTCAAGGGTGACCCTGTTAATGGACTCAAGATCACATTTGTGGCCAATCAGGAGGAAAATTACTTTGTCCATCACATTGGTCACTTCATTGTACCAATCAAAGATGCTTTCAAAGGACCTCCGGTTGGTCATATCAAAGATCAGAAGCACACCAACTGCATTCCGGTAGAAAGACCTGGTGATACACCTAAGGGGGAAAAATGCCAAATTGATTCATCAGCTTTTTCTCCAAGATATCAGAATTATCTAGATCAGTGTTCCTCAACCTTAGCGACTTTAAGATATGTGGACTTCAACTCCCAGAATTCCCCACCC